TAACACTGTATAACACTCAATAACACTGCACTGTAATTAATATAACAACTATGGTGTACGATTGTGTATGTATGTGTATCAATGTGTATGTGCGATAAACATTGGCTGGAAAGGCATACAATTTTTCTATTCTTGATGGGAAACTTCAATCCCTAGCGATACTAGCGCACTCTTGTAGACCCGGGGCTGCAAAATTTAAAACTCTTGGTCCTCTATCTTAGTTTGTTCCCCCTGGTTAGGACAACCGTGCCCCCCCTCCCGCGGTTAGGATCGCCGCCCAGTATGCCTGTTCCTCCCCCCGGCTTAAGATCTCAAAAAAGTGTTCCAGAATCGGCATAGCTATACTACTGAATGGTATAACACTACATGGAATGGAAAAAATCTGATTATGTTTCAATCATGTAGTATTTATTAGGTGTACAAATGAATAATCCAAATTATTTTAAGCAGTTATGAAATCAATTTTAAATTGAATAGATTTTCCCGCTCTTTTGTGTTTATACAATGTTGACATATAACTATTAAAAAGAACATAGTTTGGCGAAAGGCCCAACGTAACCTTCAAAAGTATTCAGTTCAGTACAGTCGAAAATGGCAACAGATAAGGTGCATATCCGACACTGCATTCTTTACGAATTCCAGCAAAGAAAAAATGCTACAAGAGCGTGCGAATCGATTTGCTCCTTTCTCGGCGAAGGTGTTGTATCGTACGATGTGTGCGCATTTTGGTTTAAGCAGTTTAAAAGCGGTGATTTTAGTCTAATCGACAAACAACGCCCTGGAAGCCCTCGGAAGCGCGACAACGATGATTTGGAACAACTGCTCGCTGAGAATTCGGCATAAACGCAAAAAGAGCTTGCAGAACAGTTGGGAGTAACGCAGCAAACGATTTCCAAACGCCTACATGAGATGGGAAAGATCCAGAAAGAAGGAAAATGGGTTCCGCATGAACTCACTGAAACCAACAAAAATCAACGAGCAGTGTGTCTTTCTCTTCTCAATAAGCAGCGTCGGAAGTCTTTCTTGTGGAAAATCGTTGCGGGCGATGAGAAATGGATACTCTATGACAATCCGAAACGCAGAAAGTCATGGGTAAATCCCGGCGAATCATCAAAATCGGTCGCAAAACCCAATCGCTTCGGAAAGAAGGTTCTTCTCTGCATTTGGTGGGATATCAAGAGCGTGCTTTATTATGAGTTGTTGGAACCAGGTGAAACAGTTACTGCGGACTGCTACCAACGTCAATTAATCTGCTTGAGTCAAGAATTGGAACGAAAACGCCCGTATACTGGCAAAGGAGAACGTCCAGTGAAATTGTTGCATGACAACGCCAGGCCACACATTGCTTCCAATACAAAAGACACCATAATGAGTCTTGGCTGGGACGTCTTGCAGCACCCGGCGTATTCACCAGATATTGCTCCATCCGATTACCACTTGTTCCGGTCGATGCAACACGCCTTGTCCGACATGCACTTCTAAACAGTGGATGAGATCCGAAAATAGCTTGACGACTTTATCGTATCCAAAGACGTAACATTTTTCCGAGATGGAATTCATCAGTTGCCTGAAAGATGGCTTAAAGTTATAGAAAGCAACGGCGAATACTTTGATTGAACAATTTTATTTACTTTCTTTTAAAATAAACCCTGAATGTAGCTGAAAAAATTGGATTATTCATTTGTACACCTACTAATTGCATCTTTAGAGATATAATCACGAGACACGGTAGTGTCTCGCGCCAAGTATAAGCGAAAAGTTTTAAAGTGACAAGTTAGACCACGTGCGCGAGACCGACCGTGTAGTTTACGCGAGTGCGCGAGTTGACGGGCCCTCGGAATTTCGGATCTCAACAACGGCTGATCCGACGAACTTGAGGCTGCGCTTAATCGATAGCTTGGGTACGATTTGTATAATAAAAGTGTTTTTACTTTTCTCCTACGTGCCCCATGAGTGGAGATATTGCTTGCAATGGAAAGTCCGCAGTTGTGAATTTCGCGTTAAGAAACGTCGTCCATGTCGTCATCGTCAACCGGCCACGATTCCTTTTCATATTTCTGCCGCACGTGGCGCTCGCAAGCGCGGCTGACGTGACTGACGTTACCGACTTAACGCGCAAGACCAACGGGTGTAGTTTACGCGAGTACGCGATTTGACAGGCCCTCAGATTTTTCGTTTAATATACGAGGGTGAGTCAAAAATTATCTGCACTTTTCGTTCTACAATTTATTTACACAAAAATAGGGGTTCAATGTATACATCATTTTTCAACATAGTCTCCTCCCTTGGCAATGCACTTGGTCCAGCGGTCCACAAGCTTGCGTATTCCTACCAAGAAGAAGAGCCACTTTTGCACCGCTTCCTGCACGTCTACGTCTGTAGAAAATTGGCGACCTCGCAAAGCATCCTTGAGCGGCCCAAACAGATGAAAGTCGGAGGGAGCAAGATCTGGGCTGCAGGAAGCGGTGCAAAAGTGGCTTTGCGACCAACCGAAAATCTTCTTCTCGGAAGGAATACGCAAGCTTGTGGACGGC